TCCCCCGTGTCCCTCCTGTCCCCTCGGCACCAGCCAGCCCAGCCCGCAGCCCTGGCACCTGGAGCTCCGTAATCTTCCCCATTTGGCAAACCTCCAGGGTTTAGCGCTGAAGCTTTGACTTTTATTCCAACCCAATGGTGTGGGGATGCTGCCACCCCTCTTTGTGCTAAATAACGGTGCTCCTGGGCTTGGCCCCACCAGCAGCTGCCTCCCAAATGTGGCACTTTCCCTGCCAAAGCTTTACAGCTGCCACCTCCGAGCGCCTCCAGCCATCGCGGAGGGCTCCAGCCCACCAAACCCCCAGGAAAACCCCGGCTCAGAAAGATGAGGTGCATGGCCTCAGTGGGGGTGTGCAGTGTTTATTGGGCCGGGACCCTGCGCATCCCCCTGGGGACATGGCCACTGCTGTCCGGTCTGTCCCCAGTGCTGGGGAGGGGAGGGAAAGCCTCCTGCCATAAACAGTTGTATTGGGTCTGGCTGAGATGGAGTTGGTGTCCCCACAGCAGCCCTCCCAGCGCTGTGTTGCACTGGGGGCTAGAGGGGTTGGTGACACACCTGGGGAGGGGGCAGAGCCAGGACAGCTGCCCCGGATTGGCTGTTCCATACCATGTGACCTCAGCTGCCCCGGATTGGCTATTCCAGACCATGTGACCTCAGCTCAGCCACATAAGCAGAGGGAGGAGGAGGAAGGGGGCATGTGTTGTTACCTTTGTCTCTGGGAGCAACCGCTACACATACTGAAGCGCTGCCTCCTGGGAAGTGACTGGACATCACTTGCTGAGGGGAAGTAGAGAATAACATTTTTGTTTACCTTTGTTTCTGTGCGTGGCCTTGGCCTTTGCTTTAATTAAACTGCTTGTATCTTAACCCACAAGTTTTTAATCTTATTCTCCCCCCCACCTTTATTTTGCTGAAGAGGGAGTGACAGAGGCGCTGGGTGGGCACCTGGTGTCCAGCCAAGGTTAACCCACCCCAACAGTTAAACCAGGGTGTTTTGGCCCGGCGTGGGGAGTGTCGCCAGCCAGGCAGGGCCGTCGCTGCTGTGCCCTGTCGGTGGCCGGGCACGGCCTGTAAAGCCAAAGTGTGCGGCCAGGAGCGGCTGGGTGAGCAAAGGGGCTGCTCGGCTGCAGGATGCGCTGCCACCACTCCTTGCTATTGCTCCTTTGGCTTCTTTTTTCCCAATAAAACCAGGCTTGGCCATATTCTCCACTGCTTTTGATCCTGCCAGGCGATTTTTGGAGGGGGCTGAGCTCCGGGACGTCCCCTGGCACCAGCGGTGTGGGATGCAATGGGGCTTTGTCAGGGCAGTTCGGCTCTGAACTGGGGTGGCCTCCCCAGAACTGCTGCTGCTGAGGAGGGGATTGGGGACAGCAGCGGTGCTCGTGTTCAGCCGGAGCCTGGAAACTAACACCCAGCCCCACAGAGGGGATCGCTGCTTGCAACTGGGGAAAGCTTTTATTTTGAGGTGGGACCTTCCAGGGCAGCCTCTCCACACCTCCACCGCCTGCCCTGCCTGGACTTCACTGCGCCTGAGCCCTCTCTGCTCTGAATTTGAGGTGACCAGCCTGGGGTGTGCTCCTGGAGGATGCTGGAGCAGCTCAGGGCTGGGTACCAGCTGTGGTACACCCAAAACCTGTCGAGACCTGGGAGAGGCGTTTTGCTGGGTCAGCCAAGCTCTAGAAAAGCACTTGATTTCTCTCCACTACACTCAAGCGCAACAGGATGTCACCGGAGGTGCCAGCAGGGATGTCGGGGGCACAGCTGGTCAGCACGTGGCCTCCACCATCATGATCTGGCAGTCCGGGCCGTGCGGGGGGGGAGCTGGGGAGCAAAGTGGGGTGCTGCGGCACGCACGGGGGTCACAGGGGATGAGCCGGTGCATCCCCAGCCCTGGCTCACGCCCGGGAGAGGCGGATGGGGTAGACGACCATGTTGAAGCTGTCCCAGGCGAAGAGCTGCCGCTCGGGGGGGTTGTAGTCCCCCATAACGGAAGCGGTTCTCGAAGGGGATGCTGACAGCCCGGCTGGTGCCGGTGGCCGTGTCGTAGGCGAAGTTGATGGTGGCGTTGGGCGTGGAGTAGCTGCTGACGGTGTAGAGGGTGCCACAGATGACGAAGGCGTTGGCCACCCCCCGCTTGCGGATGTTGGTCTCCCAGGTCTGCCGGATCTCCAGCGTCTCTGGGTCCAGCTTGGAGAGAACAATCGCCCCCCTGGCCTTCTCGGTACTGTAGATCACCCAGAGCCCTGTCTCATCCACCGCCAGGTCGATGTCGGTGTAGCCTCCCCAGGCATAGGGGTACTTCCCGTGGTAGCCAGCGCTGGGGATCTCCCTCTCGGCTG